CTTCTCCCTCTGTAGATTCTCTTTTTCCCTCTGAACCTTCTTCTGTCACTTCTTTTCCCCTTTACTACTATATTTTCTATTTGTATTGGAAGGTTCTCTGATTTCCTTGTGTTTATTAGTACTATGACTACATAATATAACCTACTCGAATCAATATATGAGCATATTATTCTATTGCATTTCTATCTGTCTTTCTGATCCTAAAAAATGCATATCTGAATAAGTACCATCTAGAGCTTGAGCCTCAACTCGATGCACTTGTTAGAAGGTACTATATATGAATTGCTTGTCGTGATATTTGTGTAGGTGTATATATATATAAAAAAAGAAGGCATCAATGGTTAATCCTGGGGAGTTAGAATGAGCACATTCTTAATGAACCATTTCACGAGAGGAATTTGTTTAATCCTGGGGAGTGCTGTATGCTCATGTACCCGCGGTGGTTGCCGAATAGCTCTTTCCTTACAGGTGCTATCGCCAACAATGCTTTCTTTACAAGATCTGCTTCCTCTGTTATGTTTTCTTGTTGATAGATAAAGAAATAAGAATTTGTAGGCTGTTATTTTGAAGACCCTTCCTTCTAATTTCTAATAGCTTGATATTTTTGCAGGATATATTTATTGCCAAGGAACTTGCACAAGAAATAGAGTTGAAGATTAATGTGGTTGCTTTAGTGGAACTTAATGTGTAAAGAAGCTTAAAGAGTTGTATTATAATTTAGACTTTGTTAGTCATAAATTTATTTTTTAAATTTCAAAATGTCGTATTTTGTGGAATTGGAGAGTGAATACAATTTATATTAGTGGTTGCAATTTTTTTATAATCAATAATAGTTTGTTGGTTGCAAAACTGTTGGTTTTTATGTTGTTTATTTATGCATATTGACATTTATATTCATACAATGCATATGTTTTTTTAAAATAAATATATACATTTACTTGACGGTTCTTGATAAGACCTGTCAAGTAAAAGTATATTTTACTTGATTGTTGTTCATGAGAACTATCAAGTAAACTAAAAGTGCGTTTACTTGACAGTTATTCATAAGAACTTTTATTTGACAGTTTACAACCATCAATTATGCTGTCAGAAAATATATGACATGTGTATATTTATAAACTAAAGGTTCAGAATCGTTAAATATATGTAAAAATAACTGTCAAATATTAATAATTATGTAGTAGTGATTATTGAAGGGATACCCTAGGGAAAAAAACACAATTATTTTATAAATAATTAACTTAATTGATTTTTCTTAATCTTTATAAATTAATTATCTAACTCTTTGATCTAAGACCATGCTTATAAGTGGTTTTATTTACAAATCAATTTTCAAATTGAATGTAATTTTTTGGATTGGTTAATTTTTAATCTAATAACTGATTTTCATTTGTTATCGTTTGAATATTTATTTCAAGAATAAATGTTATTTGACCTAAATCCTTTTTTGTATGATGTTATATCCCAGATTTTGAGTCTAAAACTCAACAGTAAGAATAAGTTTAGCATATTATAATGTCGAACGAGCCAATTGTTGCCAGAATGACATGAGGAAGAGACCTAAGATAATAGTATAAAGTCTCAAGCTTTAAAATAAAAGGGAATCTTGAAAATGTTTTCCATAAGTGCTAGGTCACAATTTTGATCGCGCTTATAACTTCGTACCATTAATTCTTGCATGGGCAAGCATGATCTCGTGTTTCCCAGGTTTTCTCAGTGTTAATAAACAAGTTTTTCTAAATTAATTAATGAATAAATCGAAAAGTTTAATGACTGTCTAATAAACCAAAAATAACTATAAATATCAAATTTTAAAATAATCTTTATTTTTAAAAGGAAGGAAAAGAAAAGTTTATCTAGGTTATGCACAATACTATAATTGTTAAAAATTTGGTTTCTTTTTTGGACTATGAATAAGACCAAGACTATTATTATTTAACACGCAAACATAGCTATATATCAAAGCGAAACTTATCACTTGTAGGGCAGAAGTTAGTCTTTCATACTCTTTCAAGAAGAGAGGGGATGGCTCATATATAGTAGCCTCATTGAAAATATTAATTATGATACCCTAAAAAATAGGGTTTATAATAGTTTAATGGGAAACTTAATCTATAAATCTTTATAGTTTTACTCAATTTTGAATCCGGTCTTCATACTTTCTTATCTAGGTCATTCCCTAAAACTTCACAAGTTGAGCCTAAACTTAAGTGATGCAACAAAAGACGAGACAAGAGGAAATAGAGAGAAGAGAGAGCTAGAAAACTCAATGGTTGGGGTGAAGACAAAGGAGGAGAGGCATCTAGTATTTATAGGGTCAGGGTGACCAAAATTTCAGAAAGTGCAATCTCACCCGTTCATTGCAGGATAATATTCTAATTGTTTTTAATTTATAATCAACAATTAATGTCTAATTAATTTCTTTTCAATCTTCAATCCATACTTTAATGATCGATTGATTTTCTAATCAATCATCCCCTCTTAATGGGGATTGATTTTCTTGATCAAAGAGATTTTCTATTCTTAGATTAAACAGTCTGACCCATTAAGGGTAGACGCCAATCCATTGTCCAACACCTTTTATTAGATCCTCATAGTTCACATTGTTAAAGGCATCGGTCCTTTTGTTACTGAATCTGTTGGATGCCATTAGTTTATATTAACAGGTATGATGCGGCAGATCTAACTAAGCAAACACATGACTGGAATGGGGAAGGGAGAATTCGAGTCTTTTCATGAGAAAGCAAGCAAGTGGAACAGTTAATTGCGTTCATTCTCGATTCGATGTTCCCAGTTGATTCTTCGAACGAGTAATAGATGTCAAGAAGTCACCTCATCTTTGGTTCTCCCCCAGTTGTCTACTCTATTTTCATCCTTCTGCAGCAGAACTACTGCTAACCATAGTTTTTATGCAGAATAAGCGATCTATCACATTCAAAGATGTCAAAGCCAGCAAGCTTTTTGAAAATTGTTTAATATTCTTTTCAACCTGAACAAGTTCATTCCTTTTGAAACAACTTCACATCTAAACGCTTGTTCATTCAGAATACAAAAAACTTCAGAAATGGTAGTATACACAATACAAAGGCCATCATATGAATGAATAGAGGATCCATATACAACGCTAATAACGGGATGTGTTGATCGGAATAATTGATGCAACAATATCTAAAGTGAAGTAAATGGAATTACCCTATAAGTACCTCATCGCTGGTTTCACTTCCATGCAAGCTCTAGCTTATTTGAAGCCAAGTTTCATTTCTCAGTATCTGAAACAACAAAACACGCTAGCTGGCATGGCTTTCTACGTTTCTAAAGCTTTGTTCTTTCATTTCTTGATCTTGAACTTGATTCTGATATGTCTCTCTTCTGGATTTATCCCTTTAGAGGGAGAAGAAGAGTATGAAACATTCCAACAATAGATGAAGCAGCATGCAAGAATGTACTAGAACTCTAAAGAGAGTGAAAGCAGATGCCAAACATTTCCAATGAATCTGAAGCATATCAAAGAGATGAATGCCAGGAGATCCAATTCCTCCGGTGGTGGCTATCGTTTTGGACTTAACAAGTTTGCTGATGAGTCCTAAGGAGCTCAAGAGAGTGTAGTTCGCCAAATTTTACTTGTTAATTTATATCCAAATACTTAGTTGTGAATTTTCTTGTATTTATTGTAAATCCTAGATTTCACGTGTTTATTTATATTTAGATACTTGTATTTGTTTTGTTACATATATTTTTTTTAATTATATGATTAAGTGGATTGGTTAGTATAGTTGTCATAATTTTTTAATGGGCTAAGAAATCATGAATTCAAACCTCCTTAACAATTTTATTTGGAAAAAATCCTTTGTTGATTGGAGCTCTGATGACGACTACCAAAAGTCGAATATATATATATATATATATATATATATAAGCACAGATATTATTGTCTTTTTAATATCATTTTAATTAAGGGGGTGTAGTGAAATTTTGAAATCTTATGAGGGTGTCAGATATTAATTGTCTATTGTGGAGTTAAATGAAAATTTTCCTATCTTTGAAAAGTTAGGTTGCATTGAATTGTTTTCAGAATTTTTTTAAAAATTTTGATATGTTTTGTTTTAAGAAGTGATAAAAATAACTTTCAAGTTATGAAGTTCAAATAAACGATAGGTATAAAAATTTTAAGATATTAAACATGAATAATTTTAGATCTACCCAACATGCATTGCATTTGAAAATGTCAATTATCGCTCTAGGGCTTGGCTATGCATATTAAGAATTTTTGAGAAGTACAATATCAATATGATTAAGTACTGAATGTATTAATCTCTTACAATTAATAATTCCCGATGGAACCAAATTTGATTAATATGTATGCAAATAAATGCAATCGTAAATTAATAAAATAGATAAAATATTATTTTACATTTGATAATTGTCATATTATAATTAATATACATAACATTGAAAATTTATTATTGATAATATCATTGTGCTTATAAAAATCTTAATACAAAAACCAGAATTCAAATTAGGCCTTGCCAATGGGTATAAGAGCTTACCATAATTTTTTTTTTAACACACAAAAACCACCTTTTCTATGGAATATATGTATCAATTGAAACCATTTCAATATATTAAAATATTGAAAATAAAAAAATTGCTTTCTTAATAAATTAATATTGAGATTGAAATTGTGTTTCATGCCAACCAGTATTAAAATGAAGTTTTATCTCGAGAAAGGGACTCCTTTAAGACAAATTGAGACGATGAAAGAGAAAGAAAATCACAAATAAAACACACTGACGTGTACTGAAATTTGCTTTCCCAGAACAAGTCAAATGTGTGAGAAAAAATAATAATTTATTCGCTGAAAAAAAAAGGGATAAACAAAAACGTAAACGGTCCAAGAGGCTCTTATTTAAATCCTAATCATCGTCATCTTTGTCCAAATGTCTGCCTAAAGACAAATCTCTAGCTTTGCATGTATGAATGATTACGTCTTTTATATATAAACAAAGCATCAAATTCTTTTGTGTAAGAAGGGAATCAGATTCAGCTGACACAGAGATTCCTTTGCTTTTAGAAGAAAGATTCAAAATTTAAGAAACTAAAAGGGTTGATTCCGTTCCCTTATAGAGAGAGAAGCCATGGATGAACGATCCAGGAGCAAAAAATTCATGCCTGCTTTGTTCTGTTCTGTGGCTTCTAACAGTGTCCAAGTACTGATACGAAGATCGATTCTGAGGCTAACCTTGTTCACTTTTATCCTTATCTGGTTTTTGTATGCTCTTTTCAATGCCATCGCCTTCTTCACCCCTGTTTACAATGATTCCACCAAGCTCGACACCACTTTCCCTTTCAATTCCGACGACTCCGCCGTTGCCGTCACCCAAATTTCAGGCGAGAATTTCCCTGGAAAATCCCGCGTCAAAGTCTACCTTTATGATCTGCCGACGAGGTTCACCTATGGAGTCATCCAGTACCATTCCTTGGTCCGAGGTGGACGTGCCGTCGAAGACGTGACCACCCTCAAGTATCCAGGCCACCAGCACATGGCGGAGTGGTACCTCTTCTTGGATCTCATCCGACCCGAATCCGATCGTGTCGGATCTCCCATTGTTCGGGTCTCGGACCCTGATGAGGCGGACCTGTTCTATGTGGCTTTCTTCTCTTCTCTGAGCTTAATCGTGAACCCAACTTTGGTTCCTATTGAGTCGGACCCGGAGAAGCCGACATATAATGACGCAGAGAATCAGCAGGCTTTGGTGGAGTGGTTGGAGGAACAGGAATATTGGAAGAGGAACAATGGAAGGGACCATGTGATTATAGCTTCGGATCCGAATGCGCTGTACCGGGTCATGGATAGAGTGAAGAACAGTGTGCTTCTTGTGGCAGATTTTGGGCGCTTGCGACCAGACCAAGGATCCATTGTTAAGGATGTCGTCATACCATACTCACATCGACTCAGAACGTACGAGGGTGATGTGGGGCTTGAGAATCGTAATACGTTGTTGTTCTTTATGGGTGCCCGATACCGGAAAGAGGTAATAATCAGTCTTCCCTATGCATGATGCTTATGAATTTCTCTGACATTCAGCATTTGATATATTTTTAGTATTACTTTTGTTAGGTTCTTGAGCTTTCATGATAAGGTTTAGAAATGTGCTTTGCAAGTTGTTCTTTATATGATGCAGAATTGCAGATGAATTTGAGTGAGATGTACCATTTACTCTGTTTTTTTTTTTTTTTAATTTTAGTTGCTCTAAAATCTTTGGCGGTTAGGATAAGGATTATAAATGTGTTTGAGATTCATAGGATTGATATATCTGTATAGCTGTAACATTGTTAAGTGATCGTTCTTGAGATGAGGTGGGTCTATCTCATAAGAGATTTGGCATGGTCATTTTAATGTTTCTCCGGTAATAGTACGTTTTTAATTGTTTTCCCAAGGTGCACGGAGGAAAACATGATATGCCAAGTTTTATAATAAAATGATGAACTATCTACATAATCTTTCGTCGTACGTGGTTTACCTTGTGATGCAATCAATCCTGTTGTTCCTCAATAACCAGCGTAAGAGTTTCGGGCAAACCTTTGGTTGACTTTATGCAGAACCCGTTCCAACAGATACAAGAATTTGTTTGTTTACTTCTTTGGTTGAAACTAAGGGTTTTACGCTTTGGCATTTGTTTATTCCAAATGGAAAAGGTACATTAACAGCCTGGTAAACTGTGGTTATAGGTTGATAAAATGGATGAGTGAAAGAGTAAGCCAACGACAGATGAGTATTGTGGCGAAGTATGAACTGAGTGAGACAAAACCTTCTTTTATTATTATTATTATTATTTTTTTTTTTTGTATGTTGTATTTGGAAAGCAATGCAAAGCATGGGATTCATTATAGAATTGGAGTATTAGAATCCCTTCTTGTCGTTGGAGATTTTGATTAATGACATATCCTATCTATTATATATTGCGTATTTGGAAACCCCTAAATGCACGTTTGCAAGATCTATCAAGTTGTTGTTGGATCTTGAGCAAATGTCCGTTTCAAACACTGGGAAAACGGGTTTCTGGAAGTTTCCCAGGGATGCTTATAGATGTCTGTGTCTAAAATTATTGTTCTAATTTCCGGAATTCCAATTAAAATAGCTACAATGTTTATGTCCCTGGTCTGCATGGTATTTGTATATGTTTTAATATAAAGATTGATCTCCTCCGTAATGTCTGCATCTCTGCTGTCTTAGTTTCATAGAGTTCATAAACTTTTTGATGGCACGACCTGCCATTCTCTTTTCCTGTTGTTGGGAAACCTATTGCTGGGCACGGTGAAAGCATTCTTGACCATGGTCATAACTTTTAATGCTGCGTCAAACTCCTTGGATTATCATTCATTAACGTTAGTTACCTTCTAGGAAGCCTTCAAAATTTATCCTCAGAACAGATGTTATCCTGTCTAATCACATCCAAATCCAACTCTTTCTGCAAATAGATTTTGATTTGAATATTATTACTGTGTTTATGTTGAAACTTCTCAAATTACCGATATTCATGGGTAGGCTTCAGTTGTTAATTTTGTAATAAAAGTATATCAATGATGGGTTTGATTTTCCTTTTTGCCGCATGTATAGTCATAAAACTGATATATCTCCTTATTTAGCTAACGTTATACCTGCTATAGGCGTTGCACACTCCTATTTAGTGTCTATGTAAATGGGGTTCCCACTTTGAATTTAATCTGTATTTCCCTTTGTGAATATTTTATAGTAACATATCATGACATTAATTTTCTTTGATGCGTATATGCTCAAATTAGAAGAATAACTGCTTTGATGCAGGCATTTTATTTTGGACATTTGCCTTCCTGAACTGAAATATCGATTTCTTTATGGTCTCATCTTTTAATAGGGAGGTAAAATTCGTGACAAACTCTTTCAAATTCTTGAACATGAAGAGGATGTCATAATAAAGCATGGAACTCAGTCCACAGAGAACAGAAGGGCAGCTTCCAAAGGAATGCATACATCAAAGTTCTGTTTACACCCTGCTGGCGATACCCCATCAGCCTGCCGACTCTTCGATTCTATTGTCACTTTATGTGTTCCAGTGATTGTGAGTGACAGTATCGAGTTGCCCTTCGAAGATATCATAGACTATTCGAAGCTGGCAATATTTGTAGACTCTGCTTCTGCTATAAAACGTAGATATCTGGTGTCAATGTTGAGAGCAATAACCCCAGAGATAATCCTGGAGTATCAGAAAGAACTTAAAGAGGTTGGTTGTGCTTGCATTATTATTATTATTATTATTATTTTCCTTGTACATTGTTAGTGATGCTACTGATGACTTGTGCCTGTTGTTCGTTTTTCTAATGGTATTTTTAGTATGATTCAACAAAGAAATTTCAGGACTAAAAATGGAAGGTATCGAAGTAATTGCTTTCTGAAAATTTGATAAATGCAATGTACATAATGAGGAGGAGACTTATTACGTCCTAGAGTTCTAAGGGGACATGGTCAAACCTGTCATTGATTCTGGAATTAAATGGAACACATACTGTTGCTTGATTATTACAGCTAGGGTTGGTTTAAGAGGTTAATTAGTTAGTTAGTTAGAAAGGCTACTAGTATAAACAGAGGATTAGTGAATGTATTGGGGGGTCAAATGAATTGATATTTCTCTGTTTCAATCTCTTTCTTCCTTTTCTTCTGTATCACATGCCTTTTTTCTTACAAGAGTATTTTTTCAAACTCTTCCCAGAGCGTATGAGCCTCATAATTTATTGGTATATTGTGATAACCTGTGGATGAAACAAGATATTTTCGTTGATATTTCTGTTTCTGCTTAATTGACCACTTACACAAGGCCCCCTTTTTGCTCCAATTCTGTTGTTCTCATTCTTTTCTAAAGGTGCATAATTAATCTGAATTTCCAATCCCCTATTATTTTAAAATATCACTTGGATTTCTGGTTTTCAATACTACCTCCGGTGCTTAATATAAGATCTACTTTATAACACCTATTTCGGAATTCAAATTACTTTAGCCTTCCTATATGATGGGAAATCCTAATACACAAAGGACCTAAAAGTTTTATACACTGGAGAACAGAAAATTATACGGGGTAAAGAAGGGAGTCTTAATTAAGCAGCAGGCATTTGAAGAGTAGTTAACAACTTGGCAAACGTTTGGCTCTAGTGTCTTGAGTTGGAAAGTATGATAGTTTGTTAAGGATGCTAGTTGTGGTCACGTGTTACACAGAATCTGAAAAATAAGTTATGTGACTCATAACTCATGAATAATACAATTTATTAGAATTTTTATAAGATGCGCCCTCTGTCTTTATTTATAAGCGCCTATCAACAAATTTACATAAATTAAGAAAGTTAAAATTGGTTATTTCTTGTAAAATGTTAAAATTACCAGTAGTAACAGTCATTAGTTAAAAGAGCTTGTTCAACTACTTAGAAAGTTTTATAGCTTGTTAAGGATGCTAGATGGGAAAAATTATTACGTTGGGCAAAACATGTTATGTTAAGAGGCATATTAAAACTTCTTATAGTGATGACCAAAGGGAATATATAAATATTGTGATAGAGTTTGTAAGGCTCCCATCTCTGTATTGCTTTATTCTGTAGCTAATGAATTTTGTTAACAAAAAACTGTATTGGAGGAAGAGATTGTTGTTTGCCTCAACTGATTAAGAAAATAACACTAACATGATATGGCTTAGGTCAAGCGATACTTTCAGTACGAGGCAGAAGATGGAACAGTTAACGAGATATGGCGCCAAATTTCAAAAAAGCTTGATTTGATTAAGCTGATGATTAACCGTGAGAAGAGGATGGTCAGAAATGAACCAGATTGCTCTTGCATGTGTACAAACAAGACAGCCATTAGAACCTTGTAGCAATTTTCTGGGAGTGCTCCAAGCAGATGAAGGTTTCCTCCTCTTCCACATTCACACAATTCAAATCCAGAATTTGGCATCTATGCAGAAGAAGCCTGTAGCTCGGTTTTTTCCAATCTACTGAGACGGCAACATTTCATTGATGATACTGATAAGGTGAAGGATGACTCAGTCTGATGGCAAATTTTGGGTATTTTATAGATGATCACTATTTAATTTGGAAAACAGTTGAATATCTATGGTTGGATCTATCATAAAAAAGGTAAAAGTATACAGTCAATCCTTTCACTTTGTATAATGTTTTAGTTTGATTCTTTAATTTTATAAAGTATTATTCAGTCCTCTAATCCTCGTATGGTTAGTCTCAAATGATAATTTTTTTGTGTCAATCGTTGTCATTTTAAAAAATTAAATTCGATATCGGAAGTTTTTGTTAATGAAAACTAATGATATTGAGGTTAAGGTTAGAGGACTGAAAAGGAACTTTATAAAATTAAGCGATTAAATTGAAACTTTTTGTGGATTTAAAGGATTAAAAGGACAGTTTTGCCCAAAAAAATCAAAGAATTTTATAGTGCTGCTAAGTTCGCTTGCTATGTCATAACTGGCATTCGTTTTTGTTGTAGATAATTCTATTGTATCAGGGATTAATTTGTACAGGGAAGAGAATAAAGTTATAGAGTTTTTTCTTACGATAAAAAATAAAAGAACATTTAAGTTGATCTCTGATTTGCAGGGCTCATATATCTCTTCATGTACGTTAATTTTACTTGTGCCTTGTTTTGTATTAAGTCAATTCATTATTTTGCTTAGTATAAATGTGTTCTCTTGTATCTTTGATGAATTTTTCCTCAAGGTTAGTTCTATCAAATAAATTTTTGCTTATCTTAAAATTAAGAAATGTGTATGTAAAGGTTGGTACATTTAGCATCATCAAGTATTTTTTTTTCAATGTGTATCTAGCATTTTAAAGTACTACCTCCGGTCCTTAATATAAAACCCCGTTTGACTTTTTGTTTGGTCCTAATTATAAGACCCCAATCTATTTTGTCTCTCATATTTATGCATTTTTTTCTAAGATAATCCTTCTAATAATGATAATTCTAGCCAATACACTTAATTAGCAAGGATATTTTAGGAATGGAAATAATTATTTATTACAAATAACTAACTTAAATTATTTCCTTAATCTCCTCAAATAAGTCAACTGGGTCTTATAATTAGGACCGGAGGTAGTATTTTGTATTGTATTAAACATCTTGAAGTATTTTTAGTGTAATTTTATATTTAACAATAGAAGATATTGGATGCACTTAAAAAAATATTTCAATGTACTAGATGCATCAAAATATGATTGAGGGTGCTAGACACACTTGAAAAACATATTTTAAAGTGTTGGATGCATCTTAATCTAAGAAATTATTTTAAAATTGTAAGGAGTAATAATGAAAATCATGGATCATTTTATGACTTGTGAATTCAAAGAAAATTTCAAGTGGCCCGTTCAAACTTTTTTCGCTTTTGTAGGAAAAGAATACACGAATCTAATAAATCTCAGCCCACACGCATTCTGAAAATTTGTTGGGTTGGGCATTTTGGCCCAAAAAGGGATGTGGCGACTAAAACTGATACGGAAAATGGCCACCAATGGCTTCTAATCAAGTTGACGGCCTTTTATTTTTAAAACATTTTTTAAAAGCTTGAGGAATTAAGGAAATTGAGTAAAAATACTTTCATTCACCTGATAAAAATATCTCTTAAAAACTGATGCGTTGGCTCATGTACGAAGGACTCTCCCCCCCCCCCAAAAAAAAAAAAAAAACTAGCAAAATAAGCAAGAATTGCAGCAATATGAAACCAGAGGAAAAAAATGAAGCGATATAATTTCAGAAATAACACGCATGTATGATGGGTAATATATATGTACAAAATTTGCCAAATCCTTGATTTGTGTCATGGAAACGATACGCAGGATGATGCTAATCTTCTCTGTATCATTTTAAGTATGTGAAAGGATTTGCCATTTGCCAACCTTCGATGCACCTCCAAAATGGTCGAGGGCGTGTGATTTCCTTCCATGTGAAGAAGGTAACTAGGGGGTGTTTAATTAAGAAAAATGCTAAATTATGTGACCTCCCGTCTTCAATATAAAAGTTAATTTGTAATGTAATTTAAACTACAAACTGATTCTTATATTTGATATCGAAGGTAGTACAAATTCCTCTTAATTTTATCTTGTATGTTAATAATTTTCTTGATTTTTGACTTTATTTTAAATCTTCCTGAATTCTTACACACGCATTTATATAGGTACACACATAATTTTCACATTATTAGTTTTGTTTATTATTTATTTGCAAGGACCTTAAAAATCTAGTGTTTATCTGCATATGGTAGTCATATACATCATAATGATCACGTTCAGCTAGAAGTGGATGGCTCAATTTCAAGCAACAAAAGAAGTGGGTGTGATGAGGTCATTAGATATGCTGAAAACAAATGGATATATGGTTTTAGTTGTAAGCTTATGACTGTTCCACCTATGATTGCGGAACTTCTTGGTATTATAAATGATTTCAACTTGTGTTGGCAAAAAGGATTAGGAAAAATTGCCATCTATTATGATTATATGAATGCTGTTAATTTTATTTTGAGAGGATGTGATGATAGCCACCCTTTTAGGGATAGTTGATGACATTAGATTATTGTTTCATAAGGAATGGTAGGTAAAATTGTATCACATTAGTAGATAAGAGGTTAATTTTTTTTAATAGGCTAGCTAAGTTATTTGATGTGTTAGAGGGTAATTAGTGTCTCCTTGATCATACGGCAGATAAAAAGACATATTCACGGCAGTTTTAGAGGCAGCGTCAATATTGTGGACGTAATAAACTAAGGGTTTTATGATGGTTATAAACTGTAGTGAAAAGAAACTTTCCAATGGCCCTTTTTCTGCTAAAAGCCGACGTGGAAAGTCCTCCATAATTGGCGTTATATGGAAAAATTTTCAGAGTGTTGTTTTGTCAAGGTTAATTAAATAACCGATGCAAAAAAAATTCAATTTTTTTATATAATTTTCTTTCAATTAGTATATAACTTTTCTGCATTGAACCAAATCAAAATTGACTAATTTTTAGCCAGCAAACCAAATAGAGCTATGCAATCAGCAATTAGGAAACTATCGTAAACATTCAATTTTATTCCAAAATGCAATTCAATGAACAATTCAACTAAAATGATTACACTTAATTCAGGTAAAACTCAATGGACAATTCAATATCAAAAACCTATTCAACTAAACTCTATTTAACTAAACCTAATAAACAATCAATATAAAAAATTTGACAACCCAACTATACTACTTGTTTATCAACCCATCAACTCAACTATTATTTTTGCCAAAACATCCCTAATTGAGTTGATATTTCTCGTTATTTTGTTTTTTTTACCCGAATATTTCTTGTTATTTTGATGCCTACAAATTAGAAGGAACAAAATCATTAGCCAAGAATTGAAATTGTGAAAAAAAATTGAGGAATCACAAAATAAGTCATGTAATTTCTATTTAGCTCATTTAGTTTCTCAGTGACACCTATTTCGATTATGTCATTCATAGAGAGGACCGCATAATATCTATACTCAACATAATGGAATCAACAAAATGAAAAACGAAATTGTATACGTTAGAAAGTATTTATACCTAGCAAATTTATTAAGCATAGAACTTAGTTCGAAACAACTTACTTTTGGGATAATCCATGTTAGTGGTGGATGACCAATTGAGATAGAAGGCTTTTTCTTTTTGGTCACTATATTGAATCCTTGAAGAGCCCTATCAACAGTTAGGCTGAAAAAACATGTTATAGCACACTATTTTAAACTTTAAACTCAATAAATTTATAAGTATAAACTCAAGTCTCAATGACATTCTTAGTTTCGTCTTGTGGCACTCCAAACAGGGAATCAAATTAGTATACAATGTTATCATAGGAGGCAAAAACAAGAAGAGTTAAATGATAACTACAAAATATAAATCATGTTAAATATTATAATAATATTTGTGTGTGGAAAATACAAAGAGTATACTTGCTTTTCAACGTAAGGTGCAAAATATATTGTTTTCTTGCTTTAGGTCATTGTGGTCATCATGTATATTGACCTCACTCTTGAATTGTTCGATGTTTTTCTGCACTTTTTGCAAGCATATGAAGCCATATTAGCCCTCATTTCCTTATTCCCTGTAGGTGTGACTAAGGTGTTTGTTGTTCAAATGAGTAAGAAGCTAGAGCACACATAAGTATATCATAAAATATGAAAATAAAATTTTAACTCACAAAATGGCAAGATGTATGAAGACTGGATCAAGCTCTTTAAAATTTAGGAACTCAATGAGGTCTTTTTAGTCAATGGTGAAGTCATAGGTTAGTTCTAAACCTACAATCCCATGGCATATTAAATGAAAGTGCGTCCTCCATTTGGTCCACCATAGCATGAAGCAACAATAGACTTTTAAATCTTGAGGCAATGTCTGCATCAAGGGGCTTGAGCACAGGAGCTGCCTTTTTTGTAGTTCTTTGTCACCAACTTCTTTGCTGTTGTTGGTTTTTTGACAAGTTTTTTCAGTTATAGTATGAAATTTTCTTTAGCTTGGGCTAGTATTCGAATCTTGTCAGTAGGGCTAGACACTGGTATACAACCTTGACCATTATGAACTTTATCCATTGTCACCCTCACTGGATCCTTGGGAACTTTTTTGTTGTGGATTGTTAAGCCTGTGTATGCTCGACCATCAATGACGGGGTGAGGGTTATCAATGTCCATAAAAAGAATAGTTGTCCATTGTCTTAGGTATGGTTAGGGCTAAGGTCTGGGCCACACGATTACAGCTGCAGTGTTTGATTTTTACTGCCCTTCCTAATTTTCAGCATATGGGTGAACCCTAAATTATGAAAAGAAATTACTCAACACAAATTAAATAAATATAAACTAATTGAAAATCTTGAAAAGAAGTTATTATTGCCCGTGATGGTTTAGACACTCGAAGCATTTAGAATACGATTGTGCCCATCATCATCATAGCTTGTTAGAACTTAGCATCAAACTCCTCACGTATATTTTGCAGCTTTGTTTTGTGCTCTTGAATAAGTTGAACTCGAACCTTCTCTGTTTTTCTTGTAATTGTTGGTTGAGTTCTCCTTTGGACACCATACCAGTGGAGGATGCACTAGTGCTTAGTGAATACACTATTGGCTATGGTTTAAGCACTTGACACAATGACAATAATATAAGCTATCACTTTTATTAGGGGCATTTTTTTAAGCAAACTCAATAAGCATTTCAACCATATCTTCATATTGTTTGCTAATTATCCTACGATCCATTGTTCTACATATTCAAAGAGTATAGATGTCAAGCTTAACTCTAGCTACTTAATTCATATATTTAAATAAATCAAATAATTAAGTATTAGTCAATAAATCGACTTGACTAATAATTAATTACAAATTAAAGGAAATGTCTTGTTTATTTTATAAAAGATTCGATAGAGTTTTTTCTTAAATATAAGAAATCTCAAATAATTTACGCAATTTTCATATCAACCAATCAACTATCAACCAAATAACAATATAAATCAACCAACCAACAATATAATAAATAAATAAAAGGCAAATTTCAACAATTATAACCAATAAAACAAATTAAAGACAACAGTTTTAAGCCAACAAATAAAGTTTCTTAAGGCTAATTTTTGAATTGAAAACGAGAACCCAAACATGTCAATAATTTCATCATCAATC